CTCTGCTGTGGAGTTCTTTGATGGTCTATCTCCGTTCTCTGGCGCATTCTCTTCATTTTGGTCTTGATCTTTCTCGGAAGCCTTGTATTGAAAAGTCTTTTCATAGAATCAGGACGTTGGCCTTTGATTTCACTGTCATAGGGACAACAAAACAATTCTTTTTGCTCTCATCCATCCTGGTCACCCAGGTTGAGGTCTTTTTGAGGATGCTCATTTTGCGTCTTCCGGAAAATTGGACTGATTTTCTTCATCGATCACTCTTTTTTTTTCCGCTGCTTGGGGAACAATTTCATAGATAGAGCTTCCAGATTTTGGAAAGAGCGTCGGCTTGGAAGAAGAAAATGAAATACGAACAACCGCGCTGGTCGTAATAGATCGACTTGAATGCGTCTTCTTGCTCCAGCATTCAAGTTCCATTTCAAGGAAGGACGACGTACCATGATACTTTCTGTTTTGTCGAGCCCTGCTTTGGTCTCTGGTTTGATGGTTGTACGTGCTAAAAATCCGGTACATTCCGTTTTGTTTCCCATCCTAGTCTTTTGCGACACTTCTGGTTTACTTATTTTGTTAGGTCTCGACTTCTCCGCTATGATCTTCCCAGTAGTTCATATAGGAGCTATTGCCGTTTCATTCCTATTCGTGGTTATGATGTTCAATATTCAAATAGCGGAGATTCACGAAGAAGTATTGCGCTATTTACCAGTGAGTGGTATTATTGGACTGATCTTTTGGTGGGAAATGTTCTTCATTTTAGATAATGAAACCATTCCATTACTACCAACCCACAGAAATACGACCTCCCTGGGATATACGGTTTATGCCGGAAAGGTACGAAGTTGGACTAATTTGGAAACATTGGGCAATTTACTTTATACCTACTATTCCGTCTGGTTTTTGGTTTCTAGTTTGATTTTATTAGTAGCTATGATTGGGGCTATAGTACTGACTATGCATAGGACTACAAAGGTGAAAAGACAGGATGTATTCCGACGAAATGCCTTGGATTTTAGGAGGACTATAATGAGGAGGCCGAGAGCTAGCACGAAAACAGTGATTCTTGAACGGCCAAGAATCACAGCAAAGAACAGAACACCTCGTTCCCATTTCTCTTTTTGTACGGGGAAGTCCGTGGGGACCCACTCCCGAAGTGTCTCCTCCTGGGCCGAATTTAGCGAGCTCCTACCCGTAGTGGCCCCCTACGTTGAAACTGTAGTTGAAACTGCGGGGAGTGTACCGATGCCACAAAGGCCTTAGGTTTGATTCGACTTCTTTTCCAATTGTCTTTATCTAAAGGCTGAATTCGCTTGTTTATAGGTTGTTCCTGTCCTGTAGTTCAATACACTATTCTAAGGCCTGTTGCCTATACAGGATCTCAAGTTTCTAGTACAGTCAGCTTTGGTTATCGCTATACCCTCTCTAGACAAACGATTTGATTCAACCCACTCTACTACTGGTACAGTAGCACCCTGCCTTAATAATCGCATAGGCACCCGGGAACCTTACTCAGTAAAGAAGGAGACTCCCTAAACAAGACTGCTAGCTGGTATGGAGGGACTAGCTTTGCTTGCTTCCTAGTCAAATATGCCCTATCCGTCTTACTTTAATATGGAATGGTATATATATAAATATCCTTCCTGCAGAACTGAGAAGGTCTTAAGGTCTACACGTGATAAATACGTCTAATACTACGATAGGAGAACTACTAACTTCCGCCATCTGCATTAGTTACGTTAGCGTAGGTAGGCGGTTCTCATGCCAAAGGGGAAGATCTCGCTCAGCCAAGTGCACAACCTGAGTAAGTACACTTATCGAGGAGTGATAGGGCAGCAGAGTTTGAGGCAAAAAAAAGATTTGGGTGGCTATGGGTGATATGGGGAATCTAACAATTAATTGACAATGATTTCACCGTGGTGTGCATTGGTAGCTTCAAGACGAAGGCATTTTCCATATGTAAGCCACAATTTCAGTATCTTATTCTTCTGAACCAGGAAAAGCGTTCTGGTAAGGAGTATGAAAGAAGAGTACGAAAAAGGAAGTCAAAAGTGGTAGATCCAGGACATGCCAATTTCTTTCTCATCTTTCGCATCGCCGCGCATGGTTTTCTCAAGATCGTATTTAATTAAAGAAGAACGGAGATTGAGAAGAAGATAAAATGAACTTAAGTCCTCGTCTCAAGAGAGGGACGAGTCGAAATTCGTTCTGGACTTGTGCACGTAAAAAGGCTTTCACGTTTGTAAAGAGAAGAAATGGGTAGAGCAAAAAAAGAACATAGAAAAAGAATAGGCCTGATTTGATTCGTCTGCTCGTGGGATTGCCGATACTGCTACCCGGCTACACTGAAAGAGGGAAGCGAATAGCCTGAAGATTCTTTCCTTTGTTGTCTCACTATCAGAGCTTGCGAGAGAGACCAAAAATACTCTCTTCGGCGACTTAGACTTACTCATTTTGGCGATGTCTGGCACCCGCGCAGGAAGGGTTGAATTGTCTGAATTTCACTCTGTGAGATAATGGATCTAACGTTAGGGCTTAGTTACTCCATCTCTCTAGCCGGAACTACTTGAACCCGAGTAATTAGCTTCCTTAAGCCATGTCCATGTCCATATTTATGGAGCTAAATCGGATGGTAACTAGATTCATTCCGTAGCATGGGATTCTGTAAGAGCATCTCTAAATAATAGCTACGCATCAGTTTGAGTTCGAGATTGAAAAGTCCTCTCAAGTTGACTATTTTTGGATAAATGGGTCCTGTCAAACTGTTGTGACTGGCATCAAAATACGAAAGGCTTGTTAGATTACCAATACTATGTTAGCATTATCAAGACTGCAATCTATCACAATTTTGAGATGCTCTATAATTATAGATACCAAGAAAACATGATTATCTGTAAATTGAGGACTTGGTCCAGAAGTGAGAAAATAGGTGTGAAATTCCAGGCTAGGGTTAGCAAGGAATTGTTTGGGCTGATTGAGGATATAGAGCTGATGGAGCTACCTTTGCAAGGGCGCAAATTCACTTGGAACAATGCTGTGTCAGCTGCTAAGTTAGACAGATTCCTTTTTACAATAGACTGGGATTAAATGTTGTATACCCATGCTGTGGCGACAGCCCCTTCCTAGATATGGTTCAGACCATGTTCCTTTGTTGCTGGAGTGTGAGACTGAACTGTTCAAAGGGTTTTTCAAGTTTGAAAGATCATGGTTTCAACAAGAAGACTTTATTCAGAGGATGGAGGTGGCATGCACTGTTGTTAAAAGGAGAATTGGGGAAGCCTTTTGAGTACATTTACAACAGATGAGAAAGTGTTTTAGGGGTGGAGTGCAAATGTGAATAGAGAGATTAGGAGAACAAAGGAAGAATTGTTGACCAGTCTGGATAAGTTGGAGCTTTAGCAGGAAGAGAGGGAATTGGAGCAAGAGGAGTGGGAGTGCGTTGATTACTGATTTCACTGGGGTTCCCCTACCGTCCAGAGAGAGTTGTCGCCAGGTCCTCGAAAAAAGAATCTGCCATAAAAGAGATGGAGATTGACCGGCCACCCTTAAATAAAAAACGATTATTTGTAGGCAGGAACATCTATAGAAGCGAACCTTGGCGTGTATGTTTTCTTTGACCTTAGCGGCCTTCTTCATTGGAAAGAACATTTCTCCCTTTTTCCGCTGCGCATTTCTCCGCCAGAATCCTCGTAGTACTAAGTCGTGGCTTACAAGCTAGCCCCTACTCCTTGCCCCAAACAAAAGTACTTGTTTTGACCGACCTATTACGAGCCAAAAGTAGTACACACAAGAGTGAAGTCAGGGCAAAAACCCTACTAGATGGTATTTGGAGAATATCCTAATAAGTTTAGCTTATTTCCTTGCTTTGTCAAAATACCCTATTTTACATGGATTGACCTGGTAACCTACCTCTACTGGTTTGTAATTTCCATATCTTTAGGAAAGACCGGATCAGAACATGAATTTCTGGGCTTACTTAGAAGATGTTGATCGAAGTACTCTATATCCCTCTTATGGGGCTAAGCCCGCTATCAGGCTGTGAGCTGGAATCAATATTTTCAATTGTATCTAATAGAATTTATTTGAAGGCTTTCCTTGGAAAAACCTACGCCCACCATAAAAAAAAGTATCCCTTTCTCTTTCTCTTTTCGGGAGCAGAGCTGAAAAAATCAAATCAAATAAAATAGTTACTCTATGATGATGACTAGATTGAGTTCAACGGATATGAAGGATATAAATATGCTATTTGCTGCTATTCCATCTATTTGTGCATCAAGTCCGAAGAAGATCTCAATCTATAATGAAGAAATGATAGTAGCTCGTTGTTTTATAGGCTTTCTCATATTCAGTCGGAAGAGTTTAGGTAAGACTTTCAAAGAAACTCTCGACGGGAGAATCGAGTCTATTCAGGAAGAATTGCAGCAATTCTTCAATCCTAACGAAGTCATTCCGGAGGAATCCAATGAACAACAACGGTTACTTAGGGTCAGCTTGCGAATTTGCAGCACCGTAGTAGAATCATTACCAACGGCACGCTGTGCGCCTAAGTGCGAAAAGACAGTGCAAGCTTTGTTATGCCGAAACCTAAATGTCAAGTCAGCAACACTTCTAAATGCCACTTCTTCCCGTCGCATCCGTCTTCAGGAAGATATAATCACTGGTTTTCACTTTTCAGTGAGTGAAAGATTTGTATCCGGGTCTACGGTAGAAGCTTCTACCGTAGAACAAATTCGAGGAGAGGCCTTCGTACCCATAGACCTAATTCGAGAAGGCTTGATAGTCCTAAGAAAGGTGAGGGTGGGGGGTTCTATTTTTGAAGAATAAGGAAGAGGAATAGAATCTCATTCATGTGTTCATGCTAACAGAAGAGCGGATCCAATACACATACATAAGGCATCGGTTGTTCTTAACAGCGATGGCTATTCATTTAAGTCTTCGGGTAGCACCACCAGATCTTCAACAAGGTGGAAATTCTCGTATAGTATAATAGTAGTAGACGGCAGTAGATCCTACAACGGTAAGGTTTTCAACGGCAACTTCGATTGCGCCCCATCTCTACTTCGAGAAAAAGGTTCTATCCTCGGATTCGCAATAGCGACAAAGAAAAAGGAAGGGGCGGGTCCGATTAGACGATCATCCTCATCCGAATCAGAATTATCTACTTGAACAGATTCAATGTGTTCATCATGGGAAATGAGATGTTGTTGTTTAGCAGGCTGATCCCTTTCTTCGATAAACTGCTCCTCGGATCCAACTGCTGCGTATATGACCTTAGTATCAGGCACTGCGAAATCCTCTACGGAAACAACGTTCCGAATCCTAATCCTAAAAGGCACTATGTATGTGAATGGTGAGTAACATTCGTCCTCCAACGCTCGATTTCCTGAGATCAAGTTCACCTCGCCCGTTTTCACCACTAGCAACCCATGAAGGGGATTTTTGGTGGGTGGTGTTACCCCGCCCGATAGAGATATTATGCCGGTGAATATAACAAGCTGAGTCAGAAGAAGATTGGTCCATGGAGCATTGTCGGTCTCACTGACTTGCTAAGGCTATCTTCCTTAAAAACAATCCCTTATTAGTTCCAATAAGCAAGAAATTGACTTTCTTTATAGTATAGTGCTTTCGATTTCGAAACCAAGTTCAAAGAAAGAGGATCTTCATTGGGGACAATATAGGAAGGAGCCAGGGCCATTCTATTCGGGACTGATTATGCGAGCACTTCTCGACCTCCTGATTATACCTTTTTGAAGGTTATAGGTTGTTTATGCTTTGCTTGTCTACGTCCTTACACAAATCGCTTCAAGATCGTTACCCTGTGTTTCTCTGGGTTATTCTCCTCACGGGACACAAGTGTCTGCCCGGATGTACATCAGTCGACATGTGGTGTTCAATGAACAAGTTTTTCTCTCCCTTTGCTAAATTATCCTCTCCTGTCTCTCCTATTACCAGCTCCATTTCTTCAACCTCATCCCCTCTCCAAGTACTTACTCCTTTCACTACTCCTACTACTGAATCATCTTCCCCCACTTCTCCTGTCTCTTCTACTTCCCCCTTCTCCACCTCCTATTCATCCCATGGTGACTAGAAATCGTGATAACACTCGCATTGTTAGGAAAAGCGAGAAAGTACTTTCGAAGCATCCTTCTACCTGCCTTGGCACCATATATCTTAATTAGTTAGTATATTGTAAAGATGATTCGGCTTGCATCCATTAGCCGTCATTTTTTCTAAGATCTCATGTGCGAGCCTTTCTTTCCCTACCTTGTTCAATCCAGAAATCAGATATTTTTAGCTCCGGAAGCGATGGGATGGAAAACCAATCGAAATGACTATAGATAAGATTTCGGTCCCTTTATCAGGTTGGGTTGTAACATCCACGTTGGTTGGCTATTGTTGAAAAATCAAGTTAGTAAGGTGAAAAAGCATTCTCTTGAATGAGCATCGGGTTCTTTTATTCTTGCATCTTCGATTGGGCAGATCTTATTTTATGTTAGCTTTTGAAATGAAAAGTAATCCCAGTTTCGTTACTTTTGTTAAGCCGCCCGCCCAGTGCTTTAATTGATAGAGAAATCCAGAAACAGCCAAAATTAAGGTCCAAATTTCAATCCTTGGTTAGTAGTAGGGCCTACTAAAGTCTTGTGTTATGTATGACATTAGCTCTTTGAAAAGGCACATATGCACATCATGGATCCTTTCTTTATCTGGATGGAGGCCGCTAAGGTTGGGAACAGAGCCAATTAAGGTGCTACATCTGGCTAAATACTGCCTGTATGTGTACCCGTATTGCCTCTTCCTTTGCTTAGTGCACTCGCACCAGAGCTTCAATGTTGATGTGCTTTGTCAAATCTCTATAGCTTACTTGCCTTAAAAACCACTCTTGCTTCCTAGCCTCAAAGAGCACCCATGAAGCCTCTATCCGTTGTTTAGTCCCCGCCTGCCCTTCTTGCATATGAGGGAATAAAACTCACTAAAAGTGTAGCCAGGATAACTTGATTTTCTTGTCCCAGCTCTCACGGGAAACAGATTACGCTTTCACGTAGAAAATGGAAGGTCTTCGCTATATATAAAAGAGCTCTTTACCCTTGGCAATAGAGCAGCGCCTACGTACAGTACCTTTTATCCTTTTTTATTTAATGAGTTGATATTAATTGAATATCTTTTTTTTTTTAGATTTTTGCAAAGGTTTCATTTACGCCTAATCCATATCGAGTAGACCCTGTCGTTGTGAGAATTCTTAATTCATGAGTTGTAGGGAGGGACTTATGTCACCACAAACAGAAACTAAAGCAAGTGTTGGATTTAAAGCTGGTGTTAAGGATTATAAATTGACTTACTACACCCCGGAGTACGAAACCAAGGATACTGATATCTTGGCAGCATTCCGAGTAACTCCTCAGCTCGGGGTTCCGCCTGAAGAAGCAGGAGCTGCAGTAGCTGCGGAATCTTCTACTGGTACATGGACAACTGTTTGGACTGATGGACTTACCAGTCTTGATCGTTACAAAGGACGATGCTATCACATCGAGCCCGTTCCTGGGGACCCAGATCAATATATCTGTTATGTAGCTTATCCATTAGACCTATTTGAAGAGGGTTCTGTTACTAACATGTTTACTTCCATTGTAGGTAACGTATTTGGTTTCAAAGCCTTACGCGCTCTACGTTTGGAGGATCTACGAATTCCCCCTGCTTATGTAAAAACTTTCCAAGGTCCGCCTCACGGTATCCAAGTTGAAAGGGATAAGTTGAACAAGTACGGTCGTCCTTTATTGGGATGTACTATTAAACCAAAATTGGGATTATCCGCAAAAAATTACGGTAGAGCGTGTTATGAGTGTCTACGCGGTGGACTTGATTTTACCAAAGATGATGAAAACGTAAACTCACAACCATTTATGCGCTGGAGAGACCGTTTTGTCTTTTGTGCCGAAGCAATTTATAAAGCACAAGCCGAAACCGGTGAAATCAAGGGGCATTACTTGAATGCGACTGCAGGTACATGCGAAGAAATGATTAAGAGAGCTGTATTTGCAAAGGAATTAGGGGTTCCTATTGTAATGCATGACTACTTAACAGGAGGATTCACCGCAAATACTACTTTGTCTCATTATTGCCGCGACAACGGCCTACTTCTTCACATTCACCGAGCAATGCATGCAGTTATTGATAGACAGAAAAATCATGGTATGCATTTCCGTGTATTAGCTAAAGCATTGCGTATGTCGGGGGGAGATCATATCCACTCCGGTACAGTAGTAGGTAAGTTAGAAGGGGAACGCGAAATAACTTTAGGTTTTGTTGATTTATTGCGCGATGATTTTATTGAAAAAGATCGTTCTCGCGGTATCTTTTTCACTCAGGACTGGGTATCCATGCCAGGTGTTATACCGGTGGCTTCAGGGGGTATTCATGTTTGGCATATGCCAGCTCTGACCGAAATCTTTGGAGATGATTCCGTATTACAATTTGGTGGAGGAACTTTAGGACATCCTTGGGGAAATGCACCTGGTGCAGCAGCTAATCGTGTGGCTTTAGAAGCCTGTGTACAAGCTCGTAACGAAGGGCGCGATCTTGCTCGTGAAGGTAATGAAATTATCAAAGCAGCTTGCAAATGGAGTGCTGAACTAGCCGCAGCTTGTGAAGTATGGAAGGCGATCAAATTGGAGTTCAAGCCAAGCCGGTGGATACCATAGATTAAGTAGATAAAACTAGATATAAAGAAGGTCTAAATAAAATAAAAAAGAAGAAAAATAGAAAGATAAAAAATAAGTTACGAAATGAAGTAATTCTTCTTTATTCTTCTAATTGAGCCGAATTTCAATAGATCTTGATACGATCATGATACTTTACAAATAGAGATTGTGTGGGTGTTCAGTCACCCAATCTCCTCCTTTTTGGTTCTGGCTGGTTAGAGCAGAGGACTGAAAATCCTCTTTTGCTTAGCGCGTTGGACTCCAAATCCTAACAGAGTGGTTCGAATCCACCTCAGAACGAGAGCGAGCCTGAACGAAACCTAACGGAAGCTGCGCTTGACTGGGAAGACTGCTGCGCTCCCTGCGGGTAATAGCAAGAGAGTGAAGAACGAACGATCCTCAAAACTCAAAAGTCAGCAGTGAATGAGTCCGACTCGAGTTCGTGGGTCAAAGGCGAAAGGCAGATTCGGAAAGGATAGGATCCTCCTATCATGATGATTAAGGGAAGAGTGAATTGAAAGAGATAGAGATGGTTCTTTTCTTTTGTTCGGGAGACAACCATTGTAGATTCCAGCCGAGAAGACCAGGAAAAGAGAAGGATAAAGAATGTCATATATCTCAGGAGCTAGATCACTTCCCGATGAACAAGTAAGAATTGCCTCAACAAAAATGGATGGAATTGGACCGAAAAAAGCCATTCAGCTTCGTTATCGATTAGGTATCAGTGGGAACATCAAGATTCATGAGTTAACTAAGTATCAGATCGACCAAATTGAACAAATGATAGCTCAAGATCATGTTGTTCATTGGGAATTGAAGAGGGGAGAACGAGCAGACATCGAACGATTAATTTCTATTTCTCGTTATCGTGGAATTCGTCATCAAGATGGATCGCCATTACGCGGTCAACGAACTCATACTAATGCAAGGACTGCTCGCAAGCAAATTCGGAAATGAAAGAAGGCTACCGAAAGAACAAGCAACGGATTGAGCGCTCATCCCTTGCGCCTGCGCATACGTTTTCTTGCTCCTTGGTACTTGTCATTTGAGGAAATGTTCAATAGTTCTTTTTTTCTTTTTCGTTCGATGTCTTGAACCGCTTACTAATCACGTATACGTATAGTACCCTTCGCCACTCCACGTCTGGCCCGTCTTGGTCTCGCTCACTTCGCCCGCCTATCGTATCGGTTCGGCTTCGTCCGTCAAGCGACAGCTTCACTATCGCTCATGACTGGTAGTTGTCTCTATGTAGTAGTCGGCCTTTGTTAAGCTTCGCCAGAAGCGACTAGTCGCTTCCCGAATGCCTCTTTCTTGTACTAATTAATGTGTATGGTCTAGTCTTTCCAATGCCTCTTTCCTTGCCGCCAACGCACGCTAGATGGAGAGTAAGCAAGCTACCTTGCTTGCATTCGTTAAACGGTAGCTTCCGCGCCCTTCCTGCCTGCAGAAATTGATGTGAATGATCGTGTCTTCGACATCAATTTCAGTCTGATTAGATATGTCATTGAAACAAATCTGTTTTGTCTTTGTTTTATTTTCGGATGATAAGGATGAGCCAGCCGATCCTAACATAATTTTGGAGGAGCCGGACGACGAAGCCTCAAAATCTGATAAGGATGTCTCCGACGCGACCGGACTGCAACTATATATTTTTTTTAGGGGTCAGGAGGGAAAAAAAAGATATGCTGTTTCCTATCAGTCCCAAGCGGATACCCCCCAGCTTCCACGGTCCGCTTACCGAGGAAGAGATGCGGGAGGACCCAGGGCCAGAGCAAGTTGGGTTGGGGTATAGAGCCGTAAGCGCGGTGGGGGTGACAGAGGATGTGCTCGTACGGTTCATAGTTGGGTATGATATTCTCGTGGATTGTTGGGAACGTCCTCTATATTCGAAATATGCCTTTCTAGGAGCATTACGATCTGCAGCTCAAATGGTCTCTTATGAAGTCTCTATTGGTCTTATTCTTATTGTGCGCCTTGTGAGCACGTTTGGATCCGCGAAGGCAATCGCTCGGATCTTCCCCTAACCCAACCCGGGAACGGACCGGAGGGAACCGCAGCATGAGGAATGTCCGCGTCTCGTCGCAAGGCTCGTTTTGAGTTTTGGGTCATAGGGCGGGCAGTGCAGTCCGGGGCACAAGGGTCCTGGTACTACCCAGGTGCGAAGAACCCCGGAGGTGACTGCAATGAGCAAAAATGTCACTCACCGGCCTAAACGACGAGCAAACACTCGAACGTGAGAGCAAGGGATCACCCAACGAATGG